TTTTTTTAGATACTTATAATAAAAAATTTTTATTAAGAAAAACTTTATTATATAAATGTATTATTCATTTAATAATAATAATTTATTTATTTATTTTTTACATTAAACTTAATATATCATTATATTTACTGTATTAAAAATATAGAATTATAAACTTTTTTATTATTTAATAAATAATTAATAAAGTTAATTATGGTAATTTAATATTTATTTTCTTGTTAATGTTGACATTTACTTATTAAAAAAAAAAAAAATTATAATTTTATATTTTTTGAAAAAATAAAAAAATATATATATATATTTTTAATTTTCTAATAATTCTTAAATTACAATATTTTTATATATTAATTTATTTATTAAAAATTTTTAAAATTTTATGTGTTTAAATTTAAATATTATACCTATATATTTAAGTTTTTTTTTAAAAAAATATATTGCCATTTCTTGTTATTTTTTTATTTATTTTGTTAATTCCATTGTTATTCTAAAAGATTATATTGTATAAATAATTAAGAATTTTAACTTTAAAAGTTTAAATTTAATTTTGTAATTCATATATTTTTTTTTCAAGAATTTTTATTTTTCCCTATTGAAATTATTCAATTATTAATAAATAAGATATTTTAAAAATAAGAAAAAATAGAAAATTTATTTAATTTTAAAAAAAGTTAATATAAAAAAAAATTTAATTTGGTTTAAAAAAATATTTTAATTTTGTATAAATTATTAATTATTCTATATAATTCTAATATGCAATTTTTATAATAATAAAGATAAAAATTAAAATATATTTATATATAAAATACTAAATCACTTAATATAAATATATTTTAAATATAAGTAATTAAATGATATGGTAAAAATTATATAAAACAAAATTTATATTATCTTTTATATTTAAAAATAATTCTTAAAAAAAAATTGTAATATTATATAAATTTTGAAGAAAAAAATTTATATTATTTATTTATTATATAATAATATAAAAACAATAATATATCAAATAAAAAAAAATCACAATAATATATATTTATAATTATACTTAAAATCGGAAAAAGTAAAAGAAATGTTATAATAAGTTAAAAAGAAAATAATAATATTATTTATTGTAATAAAAGAAAAAAATATAATAAAATTTTTTATAATTTTTGTATTGATAAATATATATATAAATATATATATATATATATATATATATATATTTATATTTAAATATATATATATTTTTATTTATTATAAAAATATAAAAAAAAAAACTTTAAAATGCTTCTTAGAAACGTCTATAGAAATTCTTATCATAATTAATTATTTAATGTCTTCAAGTTTAATTATCATGAAAAAGTAATTGACCATTTCGAAAAGCCTAGAAACGTTGGTTCATTAGATAAAAATTCCAAAAACGTAGGTACAGGTTTAGTAGGAGCTCCTGCATGTGGTGATGTAATGAAATTATAAATTGAAGTAAATGAGGAAAATTAAACTATAGAAAGAGCTGTATTTAAGGTTAATTTTGTTTTTATATAATTTTAAAATAATAATTAAATAGACTTTCGGATGTGGATCTGCAATTGCTAGTAGTTCATATGCGACTGAATTAATAAAAGGTATGTCTTTAGATGATGCTTCTTAAATTAAGAATTCAGGTAAAGAAATATATACATATTTATTTATTCTAATTAAAATAAAGAAATTGCATAATATTTAAAATTACCTCCTGTAAAATTACATTGTTCAATGCTTGCTGAAGATGCAATTAAAAAAGCTGTTAGTGATTATAAATCAAAATAATAAAAAACTGAATAAAAATGAAAAAAATAATATATATTATTAATAAAATAAATTATATATATATATATATATATATATATTTATAATAAGGCATAATTATTTTTATTAGTTTTTTAGCATATAAGGCAATAATCATAAATACTTTTGAAATCTTATTTTTTTATTTAATGCATATTTTAAAAAAATATTGATTTTAAAATATATTAATATGAAATTTTATAGTTTATATAATCTTGTTTTATTTTATTTTTAATAATATAAATAAAAATATTCACATATTTAGTTTATAAATTTAAATTGATGTTAAAAATAATAAAATATTTATATATATAAATATATATATATATATAAATAAATATATAAATAAATATAAAAATATATGTATATATAATTATTTATATATATTTTTATGTTTATATATTTTTTATTTTATATTATATCTATTTATACTATTATAAAACAAAGAATTATTTTGTATTTTTATTACCTTTATATATATTAAAGTTTAATTTAAATTTATTTTAATTATATTTTTTATAACCATAATTATTTTATTTTTTAATAATAAATTATTTTGATTATAATATAAATTATACAAAATAACATTATTTATTATACATAATTACAAACAAATATGAAAGCTAAAATAATTTTTTATTAAACATTCTATTAAAATAATATATATTATAATTAAAAATTTATTCCTTATATAAAATAAATAAAGCTAAGTTATGTATATTTTTACATTCTTTTATTATAACATTTTGTCTATTAAAGATTTGTATTAATTTAAAAAAATAATCAATATTTTAATAATAATAATAATATGCTTTTTTTTTTCTTGAATTCTCAAATTATTTTATTTATAATTAAAAAGCTTTTTATATATATTTTTTACTTAATTTTTAGAATAATTTATTTTTTTCTTTTATTCTTATTTATATTTAACTGTTTTTAAATCATATTTTTTTATGATTATTAAAAATTTTAATCTTTTTAATACTAAGAAAAAAGTACATTATAATAAATTTTTTATATAAAATACACATAAAAATTAAATATTTATAGTAAAAAAGAAGTCATTTAATTTATAATAAAAGAAAAATGCATTTTTAAAGTTAACAAAAATATACAATTTTTTTTTTTTAAAAAAAACAAAAAAAGAAAAAGAAAAAAATAAATAAGAAAGCATTTTCAAATTTAATTTTATTTATTTTTCTAAAAATTTTATTAATTTTTTTTATCATATTTAATAACCCTTAATTCAGGAGAATTAGATTTAATTCTAAATGATTTGCAATTTTTTGTACTTTTAAATACATATTTTTCCAAAAGTTAAACTTCTTTTATAGGTATTTTGTACAAAAAGCTTTAAAGATTATTATTTACTTCATTATTATTTTTTAAATGCATATTTCCTTTTAAATCAGAAACATTTTATCTTAAAGGACTCAAAGAAATAGTTTTTTATGTAAATTCTTAGCTTATTTTTTTAACAGAAAACTTACTTTCTTCAATTTGAATTTTCTAAACTTGTTCTTAATCTATTTATTGGATCATTAATTTCAAAGGTGAAATATCGAATTCATCTTCTTATTTATATGTATATCCAATAAAAGGGAATTTTTTTTTTTATTTGTATGATCATTATTTTACTAAATAAAATCATCTTTATTTTCTTCAAATTTATCAAAATTAGAAATATCTTATTCATTTTTAAGCTTTTTTTATATACAAAAAATTAATAATTTTAATTAAATAAATATAACAAAAAAATATACTTCAGGAGTATAGGGAGGTTATTATTTTCTTATATTTTACCAATCAATACCTTAAAAAAAAGGATGAGCTTTTATTTCTTAAGCACCATTTTTACCTAGTCGATTTTCAGGTTCTTAGATTAATCTTTTTAATAGATCAATTGCACTTTTTGAAATTATTATATCTTAAGGAATAACAAAATTTTTTTTCCAATTCATTATTTTTTAACATGTAGCAGATGGGTCTTGAGAAAAAAAGGAGGATAGCCAATCATCATTTCATATAAAATTATTCCAAAACTCCACCAATCAACTAACTCTGTATATCCTTTTTAACGAAGAATCTCAGGAGCAATATAATCAGGGGTACCTACAGTTGAAAATGCAAGCTTTTTATAGAGTATATATATATATATATATATATATATATATATATATATATATATATATATATATATATATATATATATATATATATAAATATATATATTACTTATCTTTTTGTCAAATTTTAATTTTTTTGTAAAGTTTATTTTCCTTTGTTTTTCAAACAATCAAATTTATCCGAAAGACCATAAATTTTATTTTTTATTTCCTTATTTTAATAAAAATTAATAAGTAAATAATTTATTTAAATTAAAAAAAAAAAAAAATTTCAAAAACTATAATATATTTTTATTTGAAATATAAAATAATAGCAACAATTTTAGCTTATATAAAAAATATATTATTATATTAAACATACTTTTTTATTTTAAAATATATTAATAATTTACCATATATTTACATAAACCAAAATCAGTTAACTTAATATGTCCATTTTTATCTATTAAAATATTATCAGGTTTTAAATCTCTATGTATATAATTCATTTTATGAACAGACTCTATAGATAAAAGTATTTCACTAGCATAAAATTAGCATTCTTATTCCGTTAAGATATCTTTTTTCATAAGAATATTCATTAAATCTTTTTATTTTTTTTTATAAAAAATATATATATAAATATAATTAATTAAATATATAATATAAATATTTCTACTTATAAATAAAAACCTCCTCCTTATAAAAATTCCATAACTAAATATAGAAACTTATTATCTTAAAAAGATGCATATAAATCTACAATCCATGGATTTCCAATAGTCGATAAAACATTTTTTTCAGCCATAATATGATTAATTTAATTTTTGACAAGCATTTCTTTTTTAATCATTTTTTTAATTGCGACAATTCTATTATTTTTTTTATCTTTACAAATTCTGACCTCCCCAAAAGCTCCTCTTCCAATAATTTATAAAGGCTCATAATCTTGACAAGAAATTTTCTATCTTTTTTTTCTTTCATATTTAAATTCTTCTTCGAATATTTTTTTCTCGATTTCTTTTTTTTACTTCTCCTCTATATTATAACTTGATAATTTTTTCTATAATAATTACCATAATTCTTTAAATTCTTTTTCTTTTATTAAGGCTTATGAATATTTTTCTGTGTTTTTATATTTTTTTATTTATAAATATATATATATATATATATATAAATATGTTTTATTTATTTTATATTAAAAACTTTCTATGTATTATTTTGCAGATTCTACTCTATCCTATGTTTTAGAAGAAATCCTTATTTAAGATTGTTATTTTTAATTATTTTTATTTTATTTTTTGTCCTTTTTTTCATTATTACTATTTTTTATTTATTATTCATAGTTCTCTATTGAACTAGAATTAGAATTACTCATTTATATATATAAAAAAATATATATTTTATTTTTTATATAAAAAATAAATATATATTATTTATTTAACGTTTTTTTTATTTATTTATTTTTTTAATAAATAATATAAATAATTACATTTTTATAAAAATATATATATTTATGCTATTTAAATAAAAAAAAATTATTAGCAATAAAATATATAAATTATAATTTTTTATTAAATAAATACTATTATTATTAGTTTATTCTAAAAATAAAATCAATTGAAAAATCTAAAAATGAGTAACTAGAATAAATTTGACTCATTTATAAAAAGTAAAAATATAAAAAAATATAAAAAAAGTATGATTTCATTTATTTTTTGTTTCAAGAATAATAAAATTTATTAATAGACATTTAAATTCTATAAAATGAATTCGAATAATAAAATTTGAATTTTGAAAAGTAAAAAGAACTATTAAAATTAAAATATTTTTAACAAATATAAGAATTAAAGAAGAATAAATAAAAAAAAAAATAACAAAAACTTTAAACCGAATAAAAAAAGTTTTAAACTTAATATAATTAATTTTAGATTTAAGAATGCTCTAATATAAGATAATAAAACTCTAATACTAAATAATAAAACTAATATACATAATAAAAAAAATTAAATAATAAATAATATGACTCAAATAACAAATAATAAGACTAAAATTAATAATAAAAAAATTAATTTGAAAAATCAAACGAATAAAATGAAATTTGCGAAGACTAAAATTAATACTAAATAAATATAAATAAGTTTTAAATATAATAAAACCAGTTTTAATTAGCAAAAAATAAATAGGAAAATCAATTTGAAAAAGAGGAAAATTAAATTAAAAAATAGGAAATTCTTTTATAACCATATGGAAATGAATTATAATAATTTTAAATAGATAGAAATGAGTTTTAAATAGAATAAAATTAATTTCGAAAATATTAAAATAATTAAAATTAATTTTAAAAATATTAAAATCAATAGGAAAGTTAATTCTAAACATAAGAAAATCAACTTTAAAACTAATAAAATAAACTTCAAAAATATAAAAATCAACTTTAAATAGAAAAAAATAAATTATATATAAAAGAAAATTATTTTCATTTAAATCAAAATGAATTATAATATGAAAAAAAAATTAAATAGAATAAAATTAAAATTATAAATACTAAAGCGGATTTTAAAATTATGAAAACGAATAATAAAAAGAAAATAGTAATATGAGTCAAATTCAAGTTATTTAAATTGAAGAATCGGTTGAAAATCCGTTATTATATATATAAGATAATTAGCATAAATCAAAAAAACCTCCGTTATATAATATTAAGAAAAAAATTAAAAAATGCAATAATAAAAGTTAATAAAAATTAATTTAAATAGAATGAAAATCAAAATATTATATTTTCTTAAAAAATTATAATTATTAATATTAATTTTCAATAACTTTAATTTTTCGAATTTTTTTTATTATCACAAAAATATAAAAATTTCATTATTTTTAATTAAAAAAAACAAATAAAAAAATAAATAAATAAAAAATAATTTTATAAAAAATAAAAAAAAGTACGAAAACTGTACTAATAAATAAAATAAACAAATAAAAAAAAAATACATTTTTCAATTAATTTTTTTATTTTTTTCATAATTATAGTAAAAACCAATTAATTTAATGTTATATAAATATTAATTTATTGTCTATTTATATTAAAAAGAAAAAGAAATAATAATATACTTTAAAAGATAAATATTTATTTTATTTTATGTTTGTATCTATATATATTTTAGTTTAAAATTATATTTAATAAAATGTTTTCGGCTTTTTGATTTTATAATTTTTTAAACATATTATTACTTTATTACTTTTAATATTTTATTTATTTAAAAAAAAATCATGTATTGTTTTTATAACTAATTGGTAAACTTATATAATTTAAAATAAAATAAATATCTAAAACTAAATAGTATAAATTAAATCATATTATATTTAATATTAATTTGAAATATATTTATAAATAAATTAATTTATTTGAATAGAAATATAATAAAATATTATTTATATATATTGATTTAAAAAATCAATGAAAAAGAGTAAATATAAATGATTTTATAAAATCTATTTACTATAAATAAGATAGTTATTTAAAATTTCATTATTATAATGAATATCAATAAAAAAAAATTAAAAAATAAAAAACACATAATTAAAAAAATATATATAAATAAAAATACATATATATATAAATATATAGATTAAAAGATAAATATATATATATATATATATATATGAATATATTAATTAAAATTTAATTTAATATAATTAAAGTTTTTAATTTTTTTTTTTAAAAATAATACTAATTTATTTTAATTTTATATAATATAAATTAAAAATATTATAAAGCAATTTATGATAAAATGGTTTGAAAAAATATAATAAAATTGATTTTAAGTTTATATAAATTACTATAAAAAAATTATGATATGAAATTAATAAGTTTAAATATTAATAAATAATTATTATAATTAATATTAATAATTTATTTGAAATAATTCAAAAAATATATATAAAATTTAATAATTAATTTTAATATAGTTATTAATTAAAATAGGAGATTTTAATATATCTAAAAAGAAATTGATTTAATATTAAAAGAAAATATATATATATATATATATATATATATATATATATATATATATATATATATATATATTAAATAGAACCTTTTAAACAAATTTAGGAGTCTATAAAATAAAAGTTAAATTTGATTCAAAATTGCTAAATAGTTAATATTATAAATGTAAAATCATTTAATATTAATATTGAAATTTAATATGGCTATAATTAAGCATATTTAAAAATAAGTAGGAAAAAATTCAAAAGACAGCATTAATAAAATTAAATATTATGTTACATTGTATATATAAGAGAAGAAGTGTGTTATTAATAAAATTATATTTAATTATATTTTTAAAAAATGTATTTAATAAAATTTTAAAATAAAATAAATTATAAATATTTTTTTCAAAATAAACCATAATAATTAAATTGTGTTATAAGAAAAATAAATAATAACTTTAATTTATATTTTTTAAAATAAAAATAAAAAATAAAAATATATATGAATTAAAATTCAAAGCAATGTTACCTAACCCCAAAAGTTGAACGCTAAAATTTTTCATAAAAACATAATTTATTTTTGAATACTCCAAATAGTGAGAATAAAAAATATTCTTCTTAACAATCATCTCGTTCCTCATCTTTCCGTAAAATATATTTTTAAAAGCAACTTAATCATTCATTTACAAGACTTCCCTAGCAACCTTCTATGCAAGAAATTTAATTTATAAATTTTAATCCTTAAAAATACGTATGTAGTTAATTAAATGAAGATGATGTTGTTAAAATAAAAAGATGTTTTGATAGATGGGATATGGATTAGAATGGAATATTAACTCCTAATGAAGTTAAATAGGGTTTATAAGATAATTCATTTAATATAGATCCGAATTATTTGTATTAAACTTTAATCGAATTTGATCAGGATGAAATTGGGGGATTAAATTTTGATGAATTCATTAAATTACTTGCATAACCACCTATTACTTAAGTTATTAGAAATGTATTTAATTAGTTTGATAGATAAAAAAAAGGATATATTAGTGTTGTTGATTTAAAAAATATTACTAAGTAATTAAAAATTGTCGAATAGGATTCTGATTTGGAAAATATTATATAATAAATAGGAAATGATGGAAAAATTACTTTTTAATAATTTTATTAAATAATAATTCAAGACGAAAAATTTTAAAAATGAGAAAAAATAAATAAATAAATTATTAATATTTGAATATATATACATTTATATATTTTTTTTTTAAAAAAAAATAAATATATAAAAATATATTAAATGTTTTTCAATGTATATTAATAATAGCTTCTAAAGGATTAACTGTATTTAATTATTAAGTGACTTATTCTTAACTAATAACTTTATTTTCAGTACTTAATAATTTATGATCTTTCCAATATTCATAAGTATATATCTCATTATATAGATTAATTTATTAATTCTTATCTTATTCATCTAAAGAAAATGTTATCTCTTTTAATAATTAAATAGGTGATAATTCAAAATCTTCTTATTCAATTAATTAAATTTAATGTTATTTTAATAAAAAGTTTCCTGCAAAACCCATTGCATTTACAGAAATTCCGTTTTTAGTTTTTTCTTGAGATCTCAAAACACAAAGCATAAAATTATTAGTAACAATAATATTATAATCATTTATTATTTCTTATTTATCATTTATATTATTTAATTTCATCATAATATCAATATATACATTATATAAATATTTTCCATAATCTTCTAAACTTTATTCTTCTTTAAGTTCATCCAAAACTTTAATGATATGTTTAAATTCAAATTTCAAGTAACATAGACTACTACTGCCTTTAACATGTTTAACTTTTTTATTTAAAATATTTATTATAGGTGAATCTTATAAAGCCATTTATGGAACAACTTATAAATGTTTATGTTATTAACTAGCTCCTGCATTAATTCCTGAATTAAAAAAAATATATCCTTATAAACATTATAAAACCTTTAAACGAAAAAAAAATGAAAAAAAAGATAAATATATATATATATATATATATATATATATATATATATATATATATATATATATATATAATAATACAATATATGAAGCTTCAAAATCTTACTCTTAAATTAGACTTCTTTAATATTGATATTCTTTTGTAATAATAAGCATATGATTAGGATAAACTGCAAATTTATTAAAAATTAATCTATGTGTATCTGTTAATTCTTATACATATAAACCTTCTTCGAAGGGAGGTAAAAAGGGATTTGCTGTTACTCCTGATTTTATTGAAGTTGGTTTATTTTCGAGATTTTAAAGAATGTTAAAATTAAAGTTTATGGAATTATCTGATATTTTTTTCTTTTCTCAATTTTAATTTATTATAGATTTTATTTTGGTATTAATTATTTATATTTTATAATATTATGTCGTATTTATATTAAAGTGGATAATACTATATATATTTATTTTTTATATATAATTTTCATTAGTATTTTATTATTATTTACAATTCTTTAGAAATACCTGTAATATATAAATGTAGATCCCAAACTTATTATCGAGCCACCAATAAAAAAAGCAAATATTTTAAAAAATTAGCTGTTTACTTTTGGTTTATTTAATCTAAATAATAATTAACCATTTTTTTGTTATTTATGTAAATATATTAATAATGAATATTAAATAATTTAATTTTAATTAAAAAAATTAAAGATATTTTTATTTATAATATAAATATAAATAAAAATATAAATATATATATATATATATATATATAAATATATATATATTTATTTATATATATAATCATTATAAATATATTTTTATATAATAAATTATTAAATTGTCTAAAAAAAAATATATTATTTTCTTCTTTGAAAAAAATAAAAACAAAAATATTAAGAAAAATATTTACATAATAAAATAAAAGGATAAAAAAAATAAAAAAAAAAATCAGAAAAAATACTAATCAATCAAAATCATTTAAATTAATTTATTTTTATTATTATATTTCTTATTTATTTTATTATTAATTATCATTATTTTTCCTAAAAGATTCTAAATAAATTTATTTAGCCTGCTATATACTAAATTTTTGATTTCTATTTTTATTTAAACACTATTAAAACTATATAAATAGTTAAAAATTATTTAATTATCCACATTAAATAATTTAATTTTATAAATATTCTTCCATTAATTTATTTTTATCATTTTCAATATTATCTTAATTAAAAAAAAAAATTAATTAATTTTAGAATATTCTTATTTATTTTTGGAAAATTCTTAACTATTTTTAGAAAATTCTTAATTAAATTTAGAACTTTCTTCCTAATTATTTTCACTTTTTGTAGAAATAGTAGGACTACACTCCCTATTAACCCCATTTTCTTCTTATATAATTTCCTAAAAATTTTCATCCTGAATTACTTCCAAACGATTTTCCTAAAAATTTCCTTCTTTAAAAAACTCTAAAATTTATTCAAAATTTATTCGATTTTTTTCATCAATTTGTAACATTTTAGAAATTAAATTTTACCATTTTATATTCACATTAGTATTTTCAGGAAATGTTAAATCTTTTTTTAATATATTATCCAATAATTCAAAATATCCTGAGCCTTACCAAGCTTTTTTTTAATATAAAATTTCATAAAAAATCATTCTTTTAAAAAAATAAAAATAATAAAATTCAAATAAATATTTTTATAAATAAAAAAACCCCATAGACCAAATATCAGTTTTTGAAGAATAATTTTATTTTTATAAAATTTAAGGCGACATATATGAAGGAGTCCCAACAAAAGATAATAAAACAGGATCATTCATTTCTTCTACAACTTTAGAAAAACCAAAATCTGCTATTTTTATAACATTATTATGTAAAAGAATATTTTCAGGTTTTATGTCTCTATGTACAATATTATTTTAATATAAACATTAATATCCATCTATCATTTATTTAATTAAATTTAAAGCATTTATTTCTTTTATATTTTTCATTTTTTTAATGTAATTTTCAAGGTTTCCTTCATTACAATACTCTACTATAATATATAAATTTCTTTCAGTCCTATATTTAAATGAAAAATATATTAAGAAAAAAAAAATATATATATATATATATATATATATATATATATATTTGTATATATATCTATAAATATTTTGCATATATATTTTTATATATATTTTTAAATATATTATAATAAATAAAGCTTTTTTTGTTTTTTAAAATAATTATTTTTTCGAATTTTATTTTTACTTATATACAAGTATATTTTATACATTTTTAAAAAAAATAAAAATTATTTAAGGACTTTGTAACTTAATATAATTATACAATATTATTATGATTTAAAATTTGCATGCTTTTTATTTCATTTTTTAATGCCGGAATTATTTTCTCAGGTTTGTTTTAAATTTTCTAATGGAATTATTTTACGGCTACCTATCTATTTAATTTAGTGTCTTTACCTTCATATACACTTCCAAAAGTACCTTTACCTAGTATTTTATCAAGATAAATTTAATAATTTTGAATATTTTTGATATTTTTTTTATTCATTTTTTTATAATTAAAAATATTTATTTATTTTTTTAAATATATATGTATATATATAATATAAATATATATTTTAAAGTTTAATATTTTATTTTTTTAGCTATATTTATTTTTAATTACGCATTATATTTTATTTTTATAACAAAAAAGAACATATCTATATAATATGTTATTATATAAATTTTTTATTCATTATTATATTATTCATTTTTATTTTTTATTTTAATTATCTTTAAAATTAAAAAATTAATTTTATCAAATAATTATTTATTAATTATATTAATTTCAATTTTATTTAAAAATGTATGTACAATATGTAACTATTTAATTCAAAATAATTTTAAAATAAAAAATAATAAAATAATATATAATATGATGTTCTTATAATTTATTATATTTACTAACTTATTATTATATTAAATTTTTAATTAATAGAATATTAAATATTGTTTTATAGGTAAAGTAAAATAATAATACATATATTTAATAAAATATTTTTTAAAAATTTAATTGATTTTTTATATTAACATATAATATATCAAATTAAGTTCTTTTTATATCCTTTAAAAATAACTTAAATAATTTTTATAAATGCTAAATATTTTTTTAAAATATAATATAAATATTTATTTAAAATAAAATAATATAGATATATATAAAATATAAATATAAAAAATTATATATATAAATAATTATTTAAAATATTAATAATATCTTTTTAATACTTTATAATTCAGCATTTATAATTTTTTTAAATATATTTTAAAATATTATAAAATTAATATTACTAATATTAAAATAATTATTAATATTAATATTTATTTTATTTTATTATATATTTTCTATTAATATATATATATTTTTTTTTAAATAAAAATGTTTTAAATTATAATACCTTTATTAATTCTTATTATAACATTATTAATTTTCTTTAAATAATTTTTTTTACGAAAAAATACTGATAAGCTTAAATCATTTATAGATAATGGTTTTATAAGATTATAAGAATATCGTTAAAATATTTTTAACGACTAAATAAACCATAAAGATGAACTTTATACAATAAAACAATTTAAAAAAAACTATCCAGATGCAAAAGGTTATGTATGTTACGTCGGCCCAAACAATAAATTTCCATATGTAGCTGTATGTGATCCTTAAATAATAAACGAGTTTATGTGCGAAAAGGATCATTTTTATGAAAGGGATACTGAATATTCATATGTATCTAGGATTTTGGGAAAAAGTATTATTTTTGATAAAAATGAAATTTGGAAATAAAAAAGGAAAGTTTATTCATAAGTTTTGTAGTTTTCTTAATAATAATAATAAGTAAATAAAGTCGAAGAAATAACAAGAAGAAATTTATCTTAATTTCAAAACATATAATAAAACGTATAAATACTAAATAATTTAGAAGAAATTCTAGGCGAATGGGCTTTGTTTTTATTTTTTGGAAAAAATTCATGCGATTAAAATATATTAAATTAATTAAATATACAATACAATTAAACAAGAAATGCTATAAGAATATTAAATATGGAAGATTTAGCTAAAAGTATTATTCCTTTTAAACAAATTATATAAAATTTATTAATAAAAACTGCAAATGATATTATTTCAAATAATTTTTAACCAGATGATTCAAATAATAATACTTTAGTTTGGTAAATAATATATTTAATATTAATAAATATTCATTTTATAATTATACATATATATATATTACATTTTTATTTATATTTTTATATAGGTATCTTTTAAAAAGTGATTTAAATTTTTTATAAAAATCTGAAAATATAGACTCTATATGTTAAGATATTATCATATTTTTTTTTGCTGGTAGAGATACTACCGCACACACTCTTTAAATGTTATTTTATTATATGTTAATACATCCTGAATATAAGTAAAAAGTAAAAGATGAAATATCGGATTTAAAAAATTCCTATACAATCTAAAATTTTAATAAATTAATATTTTTAGAGTATTGTATAAAAGAAACATTAAGACATTATGGACCTACTACCACTATATTACCCAAAATATCTATTAAAGATCATTATTTGGGCCCCATTTTAGTCAAAAAGGGGACTTTATTATCACTTGCGTCCACTGAATTACACTATGACCCTAATTATTTTGAAAATCCGCACGAGTTTAAACCAGAAAGATGGGCTGATGAGAAAGTTAAAAAAGCTGAAAAACATATATTTATGCCTTTTTCTTTTGGATCACATAAATGCTTAGGAGATAAATTAGCTTTTCCAATAATCAAAATTATATATATATTACTTAATGATATATTTGAAGTTAATTTATCAAAAAATTATAAACATATACTTGTGACTTAAATTTAATATATGCCTTTATAAAATATTACATTAGACTTAAAAAGAGTTTTATGAAAAAAAAAACTAATATATATTTATTAAAATAATAAAGGTAAAGTAATTTGAAAAAAATAAAAATAAAAAATAGAGATAATATAGATAATATGTTTAGCTTATCAAGGAATAATTATTTAAATAAAGAAAAAAATAAATATATATATATTTATTAAATTCGGTATTTTTTTGAAAAAATAAAATATTGATTTTATTAATATATAAAAAATTAATTAATATTTTACAAATTAAAATAAAAAAAATAAAATATATATATATATTTTTATTTAAAAAATAAAAAATACAATTAAAATATAATAAAAGAAAATAAATATATAATAAAATAAAAAGAAAAATAAAATAAAAAAATGTCGTATAATACATTTGCACACGACGGATTTTTCGGTTGGCTAAATAATTATAAAAGAAAATATTTAAAATTTGTTTTTGATGTAGGAGAGCGTCCACCATATCCAATAATTAATTCAAACGCAACTTTTGTTGATGTAGTTGATAATTTTAATTTTGCTGATTTTGGTATTATTTTTACATGTACTGTTTTAGGTAAAATACGAATATTTAAAAAATAATATAAAAATAAAAAATAATTTTATATATATATATAAAAATATATTTTATATTTATATTTATATATATATACATATATTTATATTTGTAAATTTTTTTAGGATTTCCTTTTTCTAGATATGCATGTAGATCTTTAAATCATGAATCTTTATATCTTAAAAGATATATGTTTTCAACTGCATGGACAGCTATGATAAGTTATGGCTTTTTATATGCTTTTGCTAATTCTTATAATAGATTAAACGGATTTGTTGATAATGGTTTAAGATGGAAAAGAAAAGAAAAAATACTTATCAAATATGATTTTACAAGTGAATACGAAAAGTCAAGTATTTTTGGATTTTTCAGACTTAGGGAAGTTAATGAATAATGATTTTATTATTAAATAAAATATATTTTTTTTAAAGTATTAATATGGGAATTTGCAACGTATTTTTTTTTTTTAAAAAAAAATAGGCAAATATTTTTTTTTATATAAAGTTCTTTAATTATTTTTTTTAAAAATAAAAAAATTTCAATTTCAAATGGTTTTTAATTATTAGTCTTTAATATTTTCTAAAAGATATACATATATATATAAATATATATTAACATATATAAATTTATAAATATGTATGTATTTTTTTTTTATATATGAAAAATAAAATAAATCAAATAAAAATTATAAACTTTTAATAAAATAATACAGTAATTAAATAAAGTAGTATAATTAAAAATTTACAGAAATAAATCTATAAAAAATTAAAAATTTCTAAAATATAAAATTTTATTTAATTAAAAATATTAATCTTATTCTAACATATATCAGTATTTAATAAATAAACTATTTGTATTACTTTTAAAAAAAATATTTTAATTTTTATATTTTTTTTTTTTTTAAAAATTAATTAAAGAAAAGCATAATATCAATTTTTAAAAAGCACATTCAATTATTATTAAATAAAATAATAAAAGTTATAAATATAAATATGAAAGTGATATATATATATATAATTAATTTAATTATTAATAGAAATAATTACAAATTAAAATAATATAATATATTTTCTTTATAATTATTTTTTTTTAATTTTTTATTTTTTATACTTTGTTTTTATTATTTTTTTAATTTATAATCGAGATTTTATATTTTATTTTTAAGATAAATAAATATTTTTTTATATGTGCTAAATTTATTTTTAAGAGTAAAATCAAATGTATTTAATATTTTAAAAACAATTTTTTAAAGTTTAATTTTTATAATTTATAATTTTTAGATTTTGATGTAAATATTTATAATATTATTAATAATTTAAAATAAATTATAGACATTATGTCAATGTCTTTGTACTTTTTAAATATAAAATATATTTTTATGATTTATTTTAATTTAATTTTTTGCGGAAAGTAAATATGAAATTTAAATAATAGAATAATTTTTTAGAACTTAATATATAAAAATAAAAACTCTTGTTTGGACAAAAAAAATATTAGAAAATATAAATAAATTTAAGATGCTTAGATTTTATTTTTTATAAATAAAAATTTAATTACAAAAATATAAATTATTTAAAATTTTATATATTTTTTATTATCTTATTAATTTTTGTATTTTAAATATATATGAATTTGATAAAATACATATTGAATTAAAAACTTTAATAAATATATTTAGCAATATATAAAATAATTATGTTTAAAATATAGAGAATTTAATAATATAAATAGGTATTTAATAAATAATTATTTTATATAATTTTAATAAATAATGTTTAATATATATATAAATATATATATATTTCTAAAAAAAAAAAATTTTTTATTTATATTAAAATAATTTATTTATTTATAAAATATTTGTTTAATTAAATATTATTTATTAAATTATTATTTATTTATTTAAAAATAAAAAACTAAAAAAATGATTCCTCCGAGGTTTGAACTCGGGACCTTCAGTGTGTTAGACTAACGTGATAACCACTACACTAAGGAATCAGTTACAATAAAGTTATTAGTCTTAAAAAATATAACGATTATTTTTGTTTAATAAAATAAATAAGTAAAAAAAAATATTAAATATATATATATATATTTATATATATATATAATGATTTTTTTAATTTTAATTTAAACTTAAATTAAAAAGGTATATAATTTTCTAATAACATTTTGTTTTAATAATTTTATATATAAAATTCTAATATATTTTAAGCTATACTTCAAATTTTTCAATTTCTTTTTAAATTAGTATTTATTATTAAATTATAAAATTGATTATAAAAATATAATATAAAACTAACATATGTTAAAATATAATAATTATTTAATCTTAATAAATATAAAGTTTATATATTTAAAATTGTAGAAATTTATTTAAAAAAAGATTATATATATATAGTTATATTTAATACAAAAAAAAATATTAATATAATTATTTAAATAATAAAATAAAAAATATCATTTTTTGAAAAAAAACTCTTTTATTTTATTTTATTATTCTTCTAATTCAAATTTTAATTTCTCATTTTCTTTATTTTTATTATCTATCAAATTTTTCAAATAATTATATTTTTTTATTGTTTATTAAATTTTTTATTTACAATTTTATTCAACTTCATTTTAATTATATAAATAATTTTCAATTTATACCTATAAATCAAAAATAATTCTATTTTTACCATTTATTTCTTCATTAAGTTAATTTTTTTGAATAACAATTTATTAAATTTCCTATTCAAATTAATAATTTTACTCTTTTAATTTACATTCCTGTATTTTAAATTATTTTATTTATTCATCTTTTTATTCAATTATTTATTTTAACTAATCAATCTCATTTTTTTAATAATTCAATTAGCTTAAAATATTAATCTCTTTTATCCTCAAATGTTCTATTTATCCATTTTATTAAGTATATTATATTTTTAATTATTCTATTTCTTTATTTTAATTATTTAAACAATTCTACAATCTTTTCTGTTCTTCTTCAGTTGAAAATAGTTTAATGTATTCAATTTCTAATTTATTATATTTTTCTTACTAAACTAAAAATTCTTAATTTAAATGAAAAATTTTCTCGTCTTTTTAATGAATTTCAAAATGAATTTTTTTAATATTTTCTTACATTTACATAAGTTAATATTATTAAGAATTCTTAAAATTTTCACAATTTCTAATTGTTTTTTCTTAGTTTTCGATTTTATTTTACATTTCTAAAAGCTCTATTTTGTGTTTTTAAATTAAATTGTTACCTTGATTGTTATTTTAATTTATTTTTTCTTAAAATTCATTTATTTTTTAAATATAATTCTACTCTTATATATTTTTTTCTGCTAAACATTATTCCTTTTATAATATTTATTTTTAAATTTCCTAAATTTATTAACTTTATAAAGTGCATTTTTAAACTAAAGATTAATATTCTTACTAAAATAAATCCTTTTACGATATTTAAATCTATAAAAAAGATATTTTATGTTCTAAATCTTATATATATAATTGATTTTAAGACTCTTTTTCCTTCAAATGCTTATTTTCCACTAAAATTTATCCTATATTAGCGTTTGAAATATTCGAAATGTCCCTTTTTTATTCTAAAATTTAACATTTTTTTTAAAAGATTCCAATTCATATTTTAAATTCTCATCATTTTTTACAGACTAAATATGTTGTTTGAAATTTTCATCATAATGCTGTTTTTTTATTAATTAATTAAGAATTTATGTATGAGTTTTTTAATTTTACTATTATTTTTATTATTATTGTTATTATATTTAATATTTTTAATGCGAATTTTTCTATAAGGAATTATTAGTTTGTACATAAATTTAAGAAAATGATTTTTAATGTGATTTTGGATTTGAATAATGAATAATTTCTGAGTTTTTTTTACTTACACGAGCTGTTAAAGCCCTTATATTTTGATCATCGAAATTATTCAATTAATAAATTTTCATATATAATAATTTATTTATATATTATTTTGTTTGCTTTTTATTGTTTATTTATAAATTTATTTACTTTAATATATATTTAAAAATTTTGTTTTTATCAATTTAAAAACATTTTATTTTAATATAAATGACATGACAAACTTTATATTAATGCAATTTCTATTTAAGGAGTGTCTTTATTTAATATATTATTCCATTCAAAATTATTTTGGTATTTGAAAATTTTCAAGATATCATTAAAATCATTGCTCATTTAAATATTTATAATATTCATTTTAAGTAAATTAATAATAACTCTATATATAAAATTCCATCCTTCAAAAAGCAATCCATTAATTAATATATACTAATAAAAATTATATTTATATATATATATATATATATATATATATTATATTTATATATTTATATTAAAAAAAATTTATACATATAATATAAAACTTAACAAATATATATTAAAAATTATATTTTAATAAATATTTATTATAAAATTTTAACATACGGAATTTTATAAAGGAATAATAGTTGTTAATAATTTTGTAATCCAATCTTGTATTAAATTTTAAATCTATACATCAAATTTACTCAATAGAATTAATATTTCTGGACAATGAATCATAACTAGGCTTTCTATAATTTTCTAATGTCTATTAAAATCAGGGTTTTTTTTTTTAATAATTCTTCTAATCTTAATTATCCTGTTAAATGCATTAGTATTTATAAACAGTGTTTTTCTTCTCCATGCCATAATAAATGTGCTATAATATATGTAAATCCTTCAAAATAACCTAAATAATAATAATAATTTTTTTTTAAAAAAAATAAATACCTATATTGGGATTCTCATTTATATACTTTATATAAATATTTAAAAAAGTTTATTAAATAGTTTAATTTCTAAAAAATTCATTATTTTAAAATGTATTTTATATATCTTTTTAAATTTAACTTAAAATTTTACTATCTATTTAATTACTAAAACTATAATAATCCCTTTAGTTACCTCCAACAATTTCTATCCATTTTATCATTTTACTACATGATTAATTAGAGTATAGATTATTATCACATAAACAATTTTTCCTTTATTATTATTTTTATTTTTTATTATTTATACTAATAGAATTTTGTATTTCTTCTTATTAAAATGCCTTTGGTATATTTTTTTTATATTTTCCTTCAAAATTAGTATTTTCATATATATTTTCTGTCATATATATATTATTTCTAACACTTACTTTCTAACTTCCTGAATTTAAATCATTATTAGAAAGCATTTATTTTGTTTCACATGATAATAATCTATTTATATTTGTACTCATTTAACATGTATTTGTTTATTCCTAAGGAACAGAATAGTCCTCATCTTTATCTTTTTCAGGGCTTTAATTTGCTGTTTAAAATTTGCATTTTTTTTAATTTTCTAGTTGTTCTTTGTAAGTTTTTATTTCTTTTCGAGATATATATGATGAATAATTTGGTACTTTTACTCCTTGTTTATTTTAATATAGCTATTTTTGATTTATTATTTGTATATTTTCCTTATTAAATTTTTGTAGGCTTATTTTTGATGTTTAATTATCATTTTTTATTGTATCTAATACAATAGATTATTTTGAAAAAATTCGTGCAAAAGAATTCTTGCTATTCATTAAATAATTTGTTTTATGATAAAGTTTTTAAAAAATACTATTAATAATTTATAAAAGTAAAAAAAATTGTTTTATAATTTAAAAAAAATAAAAAAAGTTTTAATTAATTGTATAATTTATATATTAAAACAAAAAATAATATTAATATTAATTTTTATTAAATAAAATTAATATAAATATTTATATAAAATATAATAAATAATTATTTTAATATTTAAATATTAAAAAAATATATAAAAAAAATAATAATAATAAGTATAAAATTAAAAATTTGAAAAACGATATAAAAATTAAAAATTCAAATTATATTAATTATTTCTTCTTTTAAAAAAGTATTTTTTATAAATTTTATTATTATTTTTAATATAATGAAAATAAAAAATAAGTTGAAAATAATTTTTTTTAATAATGAATGTAAATAAAAATATTTTATTTTATGATGAATATTCTTTTTTTTATATTAAAATATATTTTATAATATAAAAAATATATATAAAAATATATATATATATATTTTATATATATATTTATATTTATTTTAAGGATATATATTTATACTTTTCTACATTTATATTAATTCAATATTATTATACATATATATAATTATAATTATAAATTTATACTATAGTAATTTTAAATTACTCCTCATTTAATATACTATTAATCATTCTATATATTTTTTTTTATTTTTTTAAAAATAGATGATTTTAATTTATAAATGATAGCAAAAAGTATTATATAGACATATAAACACATATTTAAATATAATTATAAATATACATATTTTTTTTTTTATATATATAAATGTATACATTTATATTTATATTTGAATAATCAAAATCTATTTGATAATAATAATTTTTAATTTTTTATATATATAAAAAATTTTTAATGTAAATATTTTATTATTTATAATAATAAATTATATTAAAAAATAATAAATATTAGTTTAAAATTATTCTTTTATTCATTTATATTTTGTAATAAATCTTTTTTAAATTTACTTAAAAATAATATATTTTAAATAGTTAAATATGATATTAAATCTTTTATTTATTTATTATTTTTAATCATATTATTTATGTAAATAAATTAAAAAAATATTAATCATATAAATATATATATATATATATATTAAATTATTTTTATATTTATAAATAATAAAAGACAAAAATTATTATAAAAATATTTTATTTTTTTTAATTAAAATTTTTTTATTTAATTTATTAAAAATAATATAATTTTATCTATTACTTTTTTTCTTTGTTTCTTCACTTTTTTTGTTAATAGAAAAGAAATTTAAAAAGAAATACAATTTATTTTATATTTAAAGTATTAATTTTTTTTTTAATTTTTATGATTTTTTATTAAAATTTATTAATAAAATAATCATAAAATCTAAATAAAAACCAAACATTTCCATTAATAAATAATTTGTATATATAAAATATACATTAATCAGTAAAAATAAATAAATAAAGTAGATTCAATTTTTTTTATTTTATAAATATATATTTACTATTATATAAATACATTATTTTAATATTAATCGAAAAAAAAATAAAAAAAAATACAAAAAAAATAAAAATATATATAATTAAATCAATTAAAAATAAATTGTAAAAAAAACATAAACAAAAATAATAAAATAAATGCCAAGAAAATAGAAATAAATCCCAAGAAGTGATAATAATTTAGACCTTAAATCTTAATAAAATACAAATATTTTAAATCTACTTTTGAATCAGTTTAATAGTTCAAATACACTCTAAAATCTCAGAAACATTAAAAGTACTAATAATTTAGAAAATCAATAATAAAATCAATATCAAACATATTTATAATAATAGGATTAATTGACCTTTTTATTAAATTAATAGCAAAAATAATAACAATATCAGAAAATTTAATAATTAGAACAATAATAATTATAATAAAATTATATGCAAATATTATAAAAATAATTGATAATGCAATAATAATAGAAATAATAATAATCTTAATAATAATAATAATAATAATAATAATAATAATAGTAATAATAATAATAATAAATGTTATATCCTTCTTCTAGATTATTAGATAATATAGGATTTCATTCATATCCTTAATAATAACTAATAAATTACTAAATATTGCCAACTTTTAATTTATAAAATTTATATTAATAGTCTTAATAATAATTGTAAGTATTATAAAATAAATAAAATATATAATAATAATAATAATAATAGTAGCCTTAAGATATATTATTAATTTAGGAAAAAAATAAAACTAGAATATTCCTTATCAGTTAATATTAAAATAATAAAAAGAATAGGAACTAAAAGAAATGTTAAATTTTTTAGTTGAAAATATGCACAATGTAAGCACTCAGGTTATTTTTTAATAAAAAAATGAATTTAAATATTTATCTTAAGAAGATTTAAATATTTTTGATAATATAGTTCATAAATATTAATTCACAAAAAAAACAAAGGAAGAAATGATCAAATTTATATTAAGAAAATGCTTTAAATTCCTAAAAAATAAACTAAAATAAGAAGATATTATTATGTCTCAAAAAGACATAGACATTCTATTTACTAAAAAATACTTTACAGACCAAAAAGAAATCTAAAATTAACTTCTTTTAATAGAAAGTGAAGTTAATCTAGATAAAAAAAAGAATTTAATTCAGAAAATATTCTAGAAGAAAAAGATGAAGAAAATAATGATAATTTAAATTATACATCATGTGAAAATATTGAAATTATAAATAAATTTATGCCTTTTTAAAAAAAAAGCAAAAATAAAACTATGAATAACTCGTTTCTTAAAATGATTTTTAAAAGTGAATTATTTGCAAGCGATTATAAAGAATATTTAAGTAATTATTATTTTTTATAAAAAGTTAAATATATAAATAGATATATCTATTTTATAGATTATTTTAAAAAGATAAAAATATATATATATATATAAAATATATATATATTATATATATTTATATATATATATTAATTAAAAAATATTCTTTTATATATATTAATTTCAAGTATTTTTAACCCTAAATAAAAATAGATAAATTTTAAGAACTTGCAGTAATTGAAAATTAATAAAAAACTGAAAAATGTGTAAAAAATTTACTTGAATTTATTGAAAATAGGCAATATAATGTAAAAAATAATTTTTTATTTTTTTTTTATTAAAAAATATTTTTTTAGAAAATATAATCATATTAAAGACTTCCTTGGCTTTAAATTTGGCTTGTCGAAACTGAAAAACTTGCAATTAAAATTTCAGCTTATGCAAATGAAAATATTAAACAAAAAATAATAGGTACTACTGAAAATAATTTTTTAAAAAAAATGAAAGTTTCTTAAGTAATTCCTATTTAAGCAAAATTACCTTCGAAATTTAAAACTATGTAAAGTTAATTAAATGAAAATGATGAATAAAATTAATAAACTTAAGAAAAAAAAGGAGATGAAGAATAAAAAAATTGAGGAATGTATAATAATAAAAAATAAAAATATATCTAAAACCTAAATATAATATTAATTATATAGTATTTTTTTTTTTATTAAATAAAAAAAAAGAGAAAATTAAAAATAAAGTTAAATATATTATATATAAAATTTATGTTTTAAAAAAAAATTATTTGAATTAATAATATATATTTTTTATAAAATTGAAAAAATAAAAATATTTAAAATAAAATCAAAGAAATTTTAAATTAAAAAAAAACTTATTTTTTATTAATTTAATATATATATATATATATATTATTTCATATTTAATCATTAAAATCTTAGAAAATCAAAAAAAAATTATATAATTAAAACAGTTAAAAAAAAAAATTGCATTATTAATTTTTTTATATAATAATTTATAATATATACATTAAAATATAACATTTTTAATAATATATATAATTTATAAATTTTTTAAATATAATAAAAATATAAAATAATTATGGAACCTTTAAATGATCCTTTAAATGACAGAACTATAAAAACAGTCAAAGCTCCACCTCACAAACCTTTATCTCGAAATTTAATATGGAATAATATTAATTCTTGTATATAATATTTTTTAATTTTATTTAAATTAAAAAAAATTAGGTAAACCTAATTGGAAATTAATAAGAGATCATCTATAAAAAGAAGGAAGGATATAAAAAGAAGATTTATTAAGAATAATATTAGATTGCAATAAAATACTAAGTAAGATAAATATATACAAAAAAATATAAAAACATATATATGCAAATGTTTAATTATATATATATATATATATATATATATATATATATATATATATATATATATATATATATTTATTATTATAGAAAATGAAAATAATTTAATTTACATATAAGATCCAGTAACTGTTGTTGGAGATATTCATGGGTATTTTTAATAATATATATATATATATATATAATATAAATTATATAGTTAGTTTTATGATTTATTGAAGATTTTAGAAATAGGAGGAAATCCCGAAAATACAAAATATTTATTTTTAGGAGATTTTGTTGATCGTGGTTCATTTTCTATAGAAGTTTAATTTTATTATATTCAATAAAAGTAATAAAATATAAATAATATATTTTATAAATATATAAATACATATACATTATATTTACATAGATAACTTTTCCTGAAACAATATATTTTTTAAGAGGAAATCATGAATGTAGATAAATGACTTCTTTTTTTAATTTCCGAGATGAATGTAAATCTAAATACGATCAAGAAGTATATGATATATTCATGGATTCATTTGATTTAATACCTTTATCATGTATAGTAAACGGGAAATTTCTAGCTTTACATGGAGGAATCTCACCTGAATTAAAAACTGTAAAAAATAACCTACTTTTCCATATATATATAAAAGATAGACGACATCAAAAGACTAGATCGATTTAAAGAGCCTCCCAGACAAGGTTTATTTTGTGATATTTTATGGAGTGATCCTGTTGAAAATGAAGAAGGTGCATGCGATGGAGTTTATAAATAAAATGAAGTGAGAGGATGTAGTTAATTTTTCGGTTTTGAGGCTTCAAAAAGATTTTTAGAAAATAACAATTTAATCTCTGTAATAAGAGCACATGAAGCATAGTTAGATGGATATAAAATGCATAAATGGGGAGGTAAAGAATTTCCTATGTGTATAACTATATTCAGTGCACCAAATTATTGTGATATTTATAATAATAAAGGAGCTGTTATTAAATTTTAAAATAATACATTAAATATATAATAGTATATTTATTCTTAACATCCTTATCTATTGCCGTAGTTTATGGATATTTTTACATGGAGTATACCTTTTGTAGCAGAAAAAATAACAGAAATGCTCTATGTTATACTTTAATAATAGTAAGATTAAAGTTCAGATGAAGAATTAAATGAAAATGAAAAAGCTTAATTAAATACTTATTTAAAATCATAATAATAACCTACAGATTAATAATAAAAAAATAATGAAAGAAGTAGTTTTCAAAATATAATAATATATATATAATTTATTAGTATTAATATATATATATATATCAATTTATTTATTTTAGGAGATGTTTTAAGAAACAAAATTAAATTCTTTTCCAAAATGATTAAAATGTAAAAAGTATTAAGGTAAAAAAGAATATTTAATATATATTATCTTTTAAAAAAATATATAAATTATATAAATATATATATATATACTTATATATATATATATATATATATATATATATATACATTATATAGATAAGAATCCGAAAAAATTGTTATGCTTAAAGGAAGATGCCCTGATAATAAGATTCCTAAAGGTTTACTTCTAGATTCTCATGCAATTAATGATGGTATTTCTTTTGTTTATATAAAAAAATATAAAATAATTAATAATTTTTTTTAAAAAAAAATAAATATTATATATAGTCCTTTGTACTTATAATAAAGCTAAAAATATTGATAGTGTAAATGAAAAAAGACCTGATTTCAAAGATTAATAAGGAAAATCTTAAAAATGAAAAAATTTTAAAACAAATATATGATTATTATAAATAAAAATATTTTTCATGTATTTAAACAAATTTAAAAAAAAAATTTTACTTATTAGTATTTTAAAATAAAAAATAAATTGATTAAAAAAATATAAACTTTTCTAAAATATTTATATATATATATAATATACATTTTACTAATATAAATAAATATTATAAAAATTGAAATTATAAATAATTACCATATTTCAATAAATATTACAAACTTAACATACACAAGATTTTTAATTACTTTATTTGTAAAAAGAAGATTAATTTAATTCATTAAACCTTTATTTATTATCTTACAAAAGTAATTCAATATTCCTCATATTAGCTTTTTCATTATTTATGTTTTTAATTAAATTTATATTTACTTTTTAATTGCAATTTTAATTGCTATTTTAATTTTAACTTTAATTATAATTTTATGAACTTTATTTAAATATAGAAGCTTTATTAGATTCACTTCTTTAAGTAATATTTTATCCGTCCAATGTTTATTAAAGTCTACCTTTATTATGAATTGAATTTTTTGCCATTAACTAAACTACAGGATTTCCTAATAAGGATTTTTTTTCACTTAGATTTTATTGACTTATAAAAGAATGTATCATATTTATTTCATCCTGATAATCTTGCGATTATATTTACGCGAATTAACATAAGACATTTGCTTTTTTTTGTTTATCATTTGTTTATGGTGGATTTTGTTCTATAATATTATTATGTAAAGTTTAAGTTTATTATTAATTTTAAACAAAACTTTTATTTTATTATGTTGAATCATCTAATTATTAACTTTAAGTTATTTAATTACTTATATTATTAGACTAACATTTATTATTTTTTTAATTTTTAAATTTAGAAATTTAAGTTTTATTCATATAAGAATATTTTTCTATAAATTACTATTTTTATTTTTTTAAATAAAAATTATTTAAAAGAATGAAAATATTTTTTTTTTGTAAAAAAAATTTGTATTTTTTTATTTTAAAATTATAAATAATAGTTAATTTTTTTTTTTTAATTACTTCCATTATAAAGCAGGCATTAATTACATCTACTCTTTAAGATATTTAATTTTATTATTTTTAAATTAAATTAAAATTGCAACTTGAGCTTTAATAAGAAGTATCGGATTCTATATATATTTATATTCATTTTTTATATATTATAAAATTTTATTGTATTAAAAATAAAATAATTACCATAGTTATCAATACTAGAATTTGAAGAATATAATGATATATTTTTTTTCTATAACTTTCAGCTAATTTATATATATGTTATTTCATTAAATAAATATATAAAATAATATATTTTTAATACATTCTGATTTTTTTACTTCATTAAGTAATTTAGATTTATTAAACATAGAAAGCTTTAATTCATAATTTTAAGAAAAATCATTTGATTTTCGATCCTAATATTAATAAATAATATTTACTATAAATATAAAATATTTTAATAAGATAAATACTTGATGAATATCTTTATCATAACCAAATATTTTATACTTTATTATAATAATATATAAATAAATATTTATATATAATATATATTATATATATATTTATATATATATATATATATAATTTAATTTACATTAATTTAAATATATTTAACTAACTTTTATTTTGAAATTTATATTAATTTTTCATAAAAAAGATAAGCTAAATCATCCAAAGAATAAGGATCTTACTTAAAAATTTCACTTAATATTTGTTATTAAGACTTTTTTTTTTTAATAATTAAATTTAATTATAAAAATGTAATAATAATACATTAACATCTATTTAATTCCATTTTTTACAAATATATTTTTAAAGAGTTTCTTTAACTTCTTTTTCAAACCCAATTTTAACCAAAACTTAATTTTTAATAAAATACTTTTTTATACTTTTAATAACATAATTTTTTTATAATTTTTAATAACAAGAAATATTATTTCATAAAATAATTTCCTTTTTTTTTAATTTTATTATATTATAAATAAAAAAAATACTTCACTGTATCTTAATTTATCCTTAATATTATTTTCTTTTATTTTTTAAAGACTTTTATTTAATCCTATTTAAACACTTATAAAATCCACTAATTTTTAAACTTTAACAAATTTCTAATGAAATTTAGTTTATTTATCTACATCTAAATAATTTTCAACACTTTTTAATACAGAACCAATAGAATGCATACTAATATCACTATGCATATTCTTATATCTTAAAATAACATTTTCAATATCCCTATATGTTAAATCTTTTAAATCTTTATGAGTTTTATTAAAATAATCATGTTTAGTTAATTCTCTGAACCCATATATTATAGTAAATATATTTTGTATAGGTTATTCTCTATTTTCTATTAAAATATTTTCAATACCTTTTATTTCCTATATATAAATTATAATATTATTTTTTTATTTAAATAAAAATATACTTTAAATTCATTTTCTCTCCTTTATATTCTTTTTAAAGTAAAAGCCAAAAACATGAAAAAAAAAACTAAAAGAATTTCTATATAATATATATATATATATATAAAAAAAAATTAATATATATATATATATAATTTTTTACACTCATGTCTATTTTATTCATATCTTAAAAATTAATACAAGCATATT